ATTAAGTGTCTTTACCAACTTTAACATGAATTCATTAATTAAATTTATAATTTGGTACAATGCACTTATTGTGTACATGGTTTTACATCATAATTATATATATATACAGTATATATATATATATATATATAAAAATCTGCATTACACTTTTGAACATACCATCTAACCCATCCTTAAATCTGACCATACCAAACATCCCACCTCAGTAGCACCTCAAGTGTTTTGCAATACAACATGAAGTACATTACACCTAACAATTATTGTAAATACATATAACGACACCAATTCTGCAGTGTAACTGAATACAAATATCATAATAAAACAATATTGTTACAATAATATTAAAATATAATTTTTGGTGAATTGTATTCTAAATGTCAGAGCGAGTTCAGCACTGTGGTTTGAACAGCGAGATGTCATGACTGACATGAGAAGAGGCAAAATTTCCAGTTATCTGTCTTCTTTTTCCACACTGACAGCTACTCTCAGTGGCTGCATGAGAAAGTCCTCGACATCCTGCTGAAAATTACACCATCGCTAGTAGCAACCAAAGTAGATACAATAAGTATTGACTGTACTGTCTGTACAAATGGGTCTGATTTCATCACTTTCACAGATAGTCAGTCCTAAATATTGGATATGATAAGGAAATCAGATTTATATGCTGTGTAAACAAAACCTTAAGTGCTGTTCACCCAGGACCTGTCTTTATATACACATGTGCCAGATGGTCTTATTTGACTATAGAGTCACATCTCTCTGTTTTTAATCATTAAAAACGTACGGTAGCAAAAATGAGCGTCAAGAGTAATAAGTACACAAGACAGTTTGAGGTGGGGGTCTGTTAGTTCACCCAAAAATACACTCGGATTATTAGGAACACCATACTAATACTGTGTTTGACCCCCTTTCACCTCCAGAACTGCCTTAATTCTACGTGGCATTGATTCAACAAGGTTTTGAAAGCATTCTTTAGAAATGTTGGCCCATATTGATAGGATAGCATCTTGCAGTTGATGGAGATTTGTGGGATGCACATACAGGGCACGAAGCTCCCGTTCCACCACATCCCAAAGATGCTCTATTGGGTTGAGATCTGGTGACTATGAGGGCCATTTTAGTACAGTGAACTCATTGTCATGTTCAAGAAACCAATTTGAAATGACATGGTGCATTATCCTGCTGGAAGTAGCCATCACAGGATGGCCATAAAGGGATGGACATGGTCAGAAACAATGCTCAGGTAGGCCGTGGCATTAAACGATGCCCAATTGGCACTAAGGGGCCTAAAGTATGCCAAGAAAACATCCCCCACTCCATTACACCACCACCACCAGACTGCACAGTGGTAACAAGGCATGATGGATCCATGATCTCATTCTGTTTACGCCAAATTCTGACTCTACCATCTGAATGTCTCAACAGAAATTGCTTTGCCTTCCATATTGGATCTGACTGGAATGCTGCAACATACGCAAGTAAGGGTCGAACATGTATGGGAAAATCATTCTGGTTGCCATTTTACAACATTGGAAGTTTTCAAAACAATTCCCCCCACGTGCACTGACCTGTGAGTTGAAACTCATTATAATATGCAAAACTGTTATCCACAGCAGTAGGCTGCGTTTACTTCCAAGTCTTCAATGCGAGCAAGTCTCGAAACTAGGGTAGAAAATAGCCTATTACATATTCATTTAGATGTTTTTGAATGTAAAAACCAAGCGAACGTCAAAAGTTGACCTCAGACAACAATATTAAAAAATTAAAAAGCCAGTTCATGACCCCTTTAACAGAAGCCCGACCGAACAAACCTCATTGATTCTTGCAGAAGCTCAAACATGCTGCGTAACACAAGAATGAAGCTCACCGATTCTCGCACAACAAGTGATCATGTTTCCATTTACCACAACTACGTGCGTTGATGAATGTTCATATGTGAATAAAAACCCAAACTCATAGAAATTCACATTGTTTATCTTATCACATAAAGCGATCGCAGCTAGGTTAAATGTGGTTAGGTGGGTCACGGGTACATTTTAAGGAAACATATTATACATGATATGGGTAACACTTTACAATAAGGTTCATTTATTAAACATTAGTTAATGTATTAACTAACATGAACTAACCATGAGCAATACATTTGTTACTGTTTTTGTTAATCCTTGTTAACGTTAGTTAATACAAATCCAGCTGTTCATTGTTTGTTCATGTTAGTTCACAGTGCATTAACTAATGTTAACAAGATTTTAATAAAGTATTAGTAAATGTGTGAAATTAACATTAACAAATATTAACAAATGCTAGCCTATAGAAGTATTGTTCATTCTTAGTTAATGTTAACTAATAAACCTTATTGTAAAGTGTTACCATGATATGTTAAACCTATATTAATATTAACAACAATTCTATCATGTCAGAATTAGGTACCATATTACTGTTCCATGCAAAATGATAGCATCTAAGCTATGTTTTACAGATGACAATCATAGTTTCCCCAGCAGCAGGGTTCTAAAATATTTAAATCGCTAAAGTATTTAATGATTTGTTTATGGTGGCGCGCAGTTTGTCCTTAGTTCACACGTGTAATTTATACAACACCCCCCACAGGAGAAACAGCAGTCCTCCAGGTCAGGGGCGGGAATCATTTCACAGAAAGCACTCATGGGCAATCGCCAGGCCCCACTCAACGGTGACGGCTGATTTACCTGCTAAACTCACTGCGCCATGACGGAAAGCAAAGGTGGCGCTGGATGGAGGAAAACAATAAAATGGAGAGAGATAAATGAGAATGTGCAGAGGCTAGAAAGACTGTAGAGTGGCGTGTTAAAGGTGCAATACCTAAGATTTTTGCATTAAAATATCCCAAAATCACAAGGCCAGTGTTATATATTTTAGTAAAGATGATAACTCACAATATTCCAAATGTTTCAAACAATGTTTAAATCGCGAGAAAATTGAGATTTTAACCAAGGAAACGGCACGTGTCAGCAGGGGTGAGCTGGGAGTCGCGAGTCAATCGCGTCATATCCGCTTACCTCGGTTTCCGCTCTTACTACGTGTAGTCCTGGACAAATGCGGTAGTTGTGCGTTAGCGCCTATCAAACGGCAGCTTGTTTCGCGCATTTGTTATGGAATGGAGCACATATATTCTTTTCATTTATTCTCGGAATGTGAACTGTTGGCTGTAAAGGGGGTCGCACACCGGACGAGAAGCGCCGCGTCACGTTTAGGACAACTCCAGTAACGTTATCGAACACCGGACGCGCACTTTCTCATCAGTGTATGGCCAGCAATATTGTTATGTTTAATGACAGAAAATGAAGATAATGTCTGTTCTACGTTATTGTACTGTACAATTAAATACAATCGTTGCTGAGTCTGCATTCTGAAAACTTTACCTCAGAGCATCCGTTCACAAATGAATTGAGAATCTCACGTGAAAAATCTAATAATAATCAGTAATTGTCATTCAAGCAGCTGATTTCTGTAAATGACTGCAAAACTAAATGCATAGATATTGCCAGCATATAGGGCAAAGTCAGGATCCATTAGCAACGGTTTGAGGCAAAAATAATTACAATTTTATATAAAACTATGTAAATGGCGCTCTGTGGCGCAGCAGGGTTTTGAACACGGTCCTGAAACGTTGCTGGGCGCCGCGGACAGACGCCGAATGGCGCCGCCGGTATGTGTACACTTATAGATAATAATGTGTTCGAATAATTATGTGGTGCAACGCGGCGCTGCAGCTTCTCGTCCGGTGTGCGACCCCTTAACGTTAATTTTGTGAAACTGTAGCTGTGGTTGAATACTTACACGACATGAAAAGATGTGTCAAATGTACATTGCAGACATCCCAAGTCTCCCGGATCTCCCGCATATTGATAGCGTTTCCCTGATGCCCGCAAATTAGTTCAAATCTCCCGGGATATAATGTTAGAGCGAGACACTACGCGCGCATAACATACAGCGCGCTGCGCGTGCACTGTACAGAGGGAGAGACTTTGCGTTTGTGCCTCGCGAACGCGAAAGTTAGCCTTCCCTCCCCCCCACAATCTTGTTATCGAAATATACCTCCCGGAAATGAATTCTTGCAGGTTGGATAACTGACATTAAATTGATTTTTTATTTTTATAAAGTTACCAAGGAGGGCCAACCACGTCAACTCCTGCGAGAGACCTGCCCCTCAAACCCTCTCCACCCATAGCTTCGTCCAGTGACTCGTACAGTAACATCTGTGATAACTAATTTACTTTTAAACCTGACTTTTCTTGCACGGTTATTTCAGTTTAATGAAATACAAGCATGTCATTAAACGCAACGTTTATAGAAATCGAACTTTACCTCATCCATGACAACTAATTTTCGATTCCCGTCTGACTGATTTATCCACGGTGGAGTTGAAAACAACAGTTCCCATCATTCCGCGTTCCTCCACGGCGTCATCAAGCAAAGCCGTTGTTGTTGTTTTGAATGTAGCGCCCTCTAGCGGCATCTAGATCTTAGGTATTGCACCTTTAATGACTGGAGATGAAAATTAGATTAGCAGGCGCGTATGAGAGAGAGAGAGAGATTGAAACGTGGGTGAAATTGGCCGTTAAAGAGAGGTAAAATAGTGAGAATGTGGAAAGAAGATTGTGTGATAGCAATGACACATGATACGCAGATAGGCTGAGATTACTGAAAAGGCAATGTAGAAAAACAGAAGCAGGTAATGAGAAAAGGACAGATAACGCTGAGAGAGAATACTCTTGTTAAGCCGTACCAGGATGAGATGGCTTCGTGCAGAGAAGTACCACCGAGAACACAAAAACACTTGATTATTGCTCAAATTGCGAATGGTGCTGTGTCAGCTTAGAGAAGAGAGAGAAGAAATGCAGGTCTCTTGATACAGGGCAGAGAATGGGCAGCTCTAGGATTGAACACGATGAGAAAAAGCACTTGATTGGCACATAGAGAGATTGTTTTTTTTATAGTCTCCGTGCATTTGTTCTCACCTCCTTAAGTCTTTTGAATGTTGCCTTGAAGTAAATATATTCATCTGATGTCTCCCCTTGATTTCTTCACAAAACATTATCTTTCCATTATGACAAAGGGCTGCCACAAACTCTGTTGCATGCTGAGCAGGGTCAGTTTCTGTTTATACCACAAGAGAGCACTCGGTTCCTGCGGAATAATCACACCAGACTCCACATGCAGAGAATCGACGAGAATTGATACAGTTACACAACATTATTTATAAACTAAAAACTGTTTTGGATTTTTGAAACATTTCATGCAAAGAAACACTGATATAAAATGAATAAGAAATATTTAAAGTTCAAACAAACACATGGATCACACATTGAGAATGTAAACTCATTTTCTTGCCTTCATTGAAGCACAATATTCCCTTTTTAGATCATTAATTTATGAAATATACATGTAATAGCATTGTATCTCAAAGATGTTTGCTGTCCAATTATAAAGCTGAAGAATATCAGTGTTGGTTTAAAGGCTACAGTTTTTTTTTTTTAATTATTATTATTTTTATATTTCATGTTGCTCTTAATTTGTTGTAGCAAGCCCTGGATTTCAAGTCAAAACCTTATTCTCTCTCTCTCTCTCTCTCTCACACACACCAACATTTATCATAATCAGTTGATTGATAGACCTAGTTAAATAATACAATTTAAACACACTCTTACAAATGAAATTGAAAAAAAAAATGTATAAAAAATAATGTATATAAAAATATATTTATGATCCTGTCAGATCATAAAACCTGCATTATATTACAAAAATGCATGTTTGAAGTAGGGTGGTATCACAGGAACATTCAAGTTTATGTAATCTGAAAAAGACTGAGAATGAGTGCAATACAACACCAAGAGCTGATATCACATCATTACTACAGTCGTTGTTGTCTTTTTTCCCCAGTTTAGTATGTACCGACACGCCTCTTCACCCCTATATTCCGCACCCCGCCTTCCCATTACTGTCATGTGACACTCAGTAACTCTTGTCCCATCCCTAGGATTTGACAGCAATCTTGTCGGAGTGCACTCAGCAAGCAGAGTGAAAGCCCTTCTGTATCTCACAACCTCATTCACTCGGGGACCATTCCTGCAGATGTTCACTCAGCCCGTGGACAGTGTAATCAGGACAGATTTTACATGCTGTGATGGAAATACGCGAAACAACTGCTGTGTGGTTGGAAGGAGACGTAGCTTGGGTATATGCGCAAAAAGATTTAGTGAGCAGCTACATGTGTCTCAGGCTGCACATCTGAGGAATCACGCTTGGAAAACGGCTTGCTTTGAATTACATTTGACTCATCATTATCATTCATTGTACAATTGCTGGCCATAAAAAAAAAATATGAGTAAAAACAAAGTCAGGTTTGCAGAACTTAAAAATATGGTGGTAATATTAAGGTTCATAACCTAAATCTACAATAATAATAAATTTTTTTTTTTAATTAATTGACAAGTTAATATACCAACCAGGTGACATGAAACAAATGCAATATACAATGTTCAGGGTAATGCAGAAAGAGCCTTTCTGTACTGCAATGTCAATGTTTCATGCAAAGAAAAGGCATTAAGTTTAAACTATAGTCTCTCATAGCAATACCTATAGAGGCTTAGTTTGAAACCGCATACTCACTAAGTAGATACTTACTGCAAGTACTCAAAGAGCACTAAAAGAGCAGGTACTATATAGCTTGAAAGCATAAAGTATGATCCGGACATAATCCGCCATCTAAAAATATCACGATATTAATGAAACTTGCTCTTTTTGTGGTCTTGTTGAAGAAACAAGTGCACATTTATTTTGTGATTATAGACCATTTCACAAGATGTAAACAACACTGGAAGCACTTCCTGTTTCAGTTTGTAACTGTTTTCTTTATTTCACATGTAAAGAAAACATCTTAAAGATGCTTGTTTAACTTTTTGATTCAGTTTTAAATGATCTGTTGGTTGTATTTTATCCCAGCTTTTATGTAGTGTTAAAAAACTGAAACAGGAAGTGCTTCTGGACCAGTGTTTACATCTTGTGAAATGGTCTATAGTCAGGGGCATAGCACCACATTTTAGGCCCTGGTTACAAACCATCTTGCTGGGCCCCCGTACCAAATACCATAGTGATACCAAGGGTGGGGTATTGTATTTTTTTATCATAAAAACACTTAAAATGTAAACAAAATAAGCCACACCGATTAATATATTTTTGTTTTATTGTCAAAAGTACTACTTCAGTGTTCCAGACTAACTTTTTTTACTAGGAGCGCTGTTGCCCCTGACTGAAAATTTTAGGAGCAGAAGCAGAAAATTTAGGGGCAAACCTTAAATCAGCTTGCAATGAAGTTATTAAAATATTCCCCAAAAATAACTGTATTATTGACAAATCATTTAGTATAGACTTAACATACAGATATTATGATATGCTGTTTTATCTTAAGTTCACAGGGCTCCAGACTCAAATTTGAGGGCAGCACCACCTCAAAAGAGAACTCACACTGAGTTCTACAATAATAATAATAATAATAATAAAAATCACTAAGCTTAATTTAGGGTGTAGATGAAATTAACTTTAGTTATTATCATTCAAAATGTCTTCATATGAATTAAAAAACAAAAGTAGTGAAAACATGTATATTAAGGAGTGAAAATACCCAATAAATTTGTAAGTCAATTGTAAGTCGCTTTGGATAAAAGAGTCAGCTAAATGAATAAATGTAAATGGTTCGTTCACCCAAAAATGAAAATTAGCCCATGATTTTCTCACCCTGAAGTCATCCTAGGTGTGTGTGATATACTTCTTCCTGATGAATACAATATAACTGAGTTATAATAATAAATGTCCTGGCTTCTCCAAGCTTTATAATGGGAGTGGAATGGCTGGAGAAAATTTGAAGCCCAAAAAAAGTGCATCCATCCATGATTAAATGTTAGTGCATGTATAGAAAACTGACTTCTAAACTGACTTCTTGAAAAATAGTGTTGTATTACTCGTATAAACGCCCCCTAAGCAAAGAACTAAAAAAAACTTTCCTATGACTATATCGGAGCATTAAATCACATTCAGTGTTTGTGCGTTACTTGTGCTTGAGTGTGAGCTGGTGGGTGCAGTTCACTTAATGGCCACCGGTGTCGCTAATAACCACAATAACAAGGGTTTATGAATTCTACAGTATACAATTGTAATCAAAATAATTCAACCCCCATTACAAACAGCTTTGTTGGATAAATGTACAGACTTTCAGCTGTTTGCTATGAACAAATCAATCAATAGTAATTGAAATAGCTCAACGCAACAAAAGTTTCAAGTGGTTTCCTCAAATTCAACTGAAAATGCCACTTTTAATGAGTGCAGTCTCTTGAAGGAGTTTCACCGCACTCAAGATAAACAAGGTGCCAGACAGACAAGACTAGAAAACTAAAAAAAAAAAATAAACTGTCCGCACACTTGAATCTTAAGCAAATTTAATAGCCAAACTTTCGGTCAAAAGACCATCATCAGGATTTTTTGAATGACTGCAGTCTCAAAATGATTTAACCCCCTGATTAGTATCCCTTAAAACAGCACAAATCTGCAAAACACGTCTCAAGTTCACCTGATGCAACTAATCAAGGGCTTCATTAGTTGCATCAGGTGTGCTTGAGCTAGAACACATTAAATATCTGAACTGGCTAGGTGTGTTGAGTGTCTCATTTGACTGCATGTTAAAAATATGCCAAAGCCAAAAGAATGGTCCAGAACGTTAAGAGAATATTTCATTACCCTTCACAGAAGGCAAGGCACTAAATGTTCCTAGAAAGACTGTTGGAAGCATACAGTAGTTCGCAAGTTTAAGGTTAAAGGAACAGAGATTACACTACCAGGACATGGCAGAATAAAGAAGCTATCAATGGCTGTAACTAGATTTCTGAGAAGGCAGGTTCAGATAATCCCTCGAGTGACTTTCAAAAGACCTACAGAAAGGCAACAGGCACTGAGGTTCCAGTTAAGGTCCTTGCACACCGAGTCCGAAATTTTCGGCTGAAATATTCGCATGTTAAAAAATGAATACAACGTCACGGTATGTCAATCATGTTCGCACACTGCCTCCGAAACTTTCGTCCATAATAAAAAAGTTTTATTTTTTTTTGCGTTTTTCACATCAGTACCAACGTGATCTCATGAGAATAGGTATGTATTTGTACGTAAAGTGTCGTTCTATCATACGTATATATAATTACGCTTTATATGCGCAGAAACATATAATACATATTTATAGTACCAAAACGTAAAATATTTATGTATTGACAGCACAAAAACGTAATTTATTTACGTATAAAAAAAATACACCGACGTACACATTTGTACGCATCACAGTTTATGCATATTAAAGGGTTAGTTCACCCAAAAATGAAAATTAAGTCATTAATTACTCACCCCCATGCTGTACCAACCCCGTAAGACCTTTGTTCATCTTCGGAACACAAATGAAGATACTTTTTATTAAATTTGAGAGCTGTATAACTACCACATAGGCTCCTAAGGGAATGACTCTTTTCGGCCCATAAAGTCAATGAAGAAAATGTTTAAATATTCCATGTGACTACAGTGGCTCAACTATAAGTTTATCAAGTGACGAGAATACTTTTTGTATAGTCGAAAGGAATAGTCGAATAAAGTCGTTATTTTTGTTTGTTTTTTCGCAACAAACAAAAATAACGACTTTATTCGACTATTCCTTTTCTTCCTTGTTGGCCTGAAACGAGACTTCAATACGATTTCCACGACGCATGCGCAAGAATTGCGATCTCCTTCAACTACTTCAGTTCAGTTCTCGCGCATGCGTCATGGAAATCGTATTGAAGTCTCGTTTCGGGCCACTTACAGCTCTCAAATTTAATAAAAAATATCTTCATTTGTGTTCCGAAGATGAACGAAGGTCTTACGGGGTTGGTACAGCATGGGGGTGAGTAATTAATGACCAATGACTTAATTTTCATTTTTGGGTGAACTAACCCTTTAATATCATAGCATTATGTTTTGACTCTATTGCATTCCACTGTCTTATTAATGAAGTTTTCAGTCGCATTTATTGATATAATACTCATAAATATTAACATTTTGCTCGTTTCGCCTGCATGGTGTTAAACAATACACTATAAAACCTTAAAAATACATTCTTTAACGTTACTCGTTAACCA